TAAACAAAAAAAACCATCCTACATACTCACATTGAACATAGAACTAGTTGAACTGAAATAGAATATCCAAGGCCATTCAAGGAGAGGCTGAACTGAAAGTATACAGTTAGATTCAGAAAAAAAAAAAAAAAAAAAAAAAAGGTCTTTGGTGCATTAGTTTATAAGCTATCTCTTAGAGTCTTAATTGATGCCCATTCAAGCTCTGTTCCTGACCAAGCAGCTCTCACATCCCATGTGGTCAGCTTAGGACATCATCAAGTCCTAATCTGATGCTTATTGTGAAGTAGTCTTTCTCCAGGTCTCAAGTGGACAGGGTGCATCAGATATGCAGATATTGTCTCTAATCATGCAACCTGAAAACTATGTATATGAATTATGTCACTGGATTAGCAGATACTCTTTGATTTGTCTCAGAAGGTTGAGCCACTCATTCAGTGTTGCATGGAGAGTAAGTTACAGAGGAGGATTTCGACTTAGATCTAACTCAGAGCCCTAGCTCTTAACCACTAAGCTGTATCATTCATCAACCCATTTATTGTATAATTACTGAATTCCTATTATGACATAAATGTTGGAAAGGTTATCCTTAAAGAATTTATATCATTTGGGGAATGAACTTCTGCTCCTTTCAGGGTTTCAACATATTAAGAAAGTAAGAGAAGGGCCTTTAAATTCCAATCGATCCCGGTGCTGCAAATGTCCTCATTGTCTAAGATCAAGCAGACCCTCTATGCCACAAGGCCAATGTCTCACTATATAATACAAATATTTGACCTTATTTAAAACATTGGAGGCATTGGTGGAATAGGTAATAAGTTCATTTGTGGGGATGGGGCAGGAGAGTTGAACTTTTCCTGGATCCCTGGAGGGAGTATGCAGGATTATCCTTCACCTTTTAGTATATCTGCTCCCTTCCCTCTTCCACTCTTTATCAATCACAAAAATAAAAAACTATGAAAATTCGCTATTTATTTAAAGAAAATATTTTGGATTTTAAAAAATAACAAGGCTTACTTTATCTCAGTTAATAGCTAGGTAGGACTCACCATTTGTCAAGGCTCTGACCTACTATATTTAGCAGGTTTCCACAAAGATCTCAGACCAGTAAGAGCAATTTTCAACGTCTTGGAAGGTATTCCTAGTAGTAAGCATTCTCATTTAAAGTGGTGATTTTCCCATTCCTCAAGGTGATTAAGACTAAGCTAGATGGCCAACTGGAAGTGATATCACAGAGGTGGCTGGGCTAAATGACATTGTGTGTGTGTGTGTCTGTGTGTGTGTAAATTCTTACTGACTAAAATATAGAGAAAAGACCATTTTGGAGACATCTTGAATAAGCACTTATAAAATGGAAATGCCATAATGCCATCAAGGCTTTTTTTCTTCTGCTTATCCAAGCATTATCAGTTGATTTATTTAATAAAACTGAAGACCGAGAAAGACTAGAAATACAACTTCCAATAGAATGCTCTCATGCTGTGATTGTTGAAGTGATAAGTAATTTGCTTTTAATGCTAGCACATACCACTTAGCACCATATTTAACTGAAGGATGAAAATCACTCATTTTTTATCCTCTTGCTCAACTGACACTTAGTGTAATCTATCCATTGTCACTGAGCTTAATACAAGGAACATTTACTAGATTTCACTTTCAAATTTACAGCAAGCACTTAAATTTTTAATTTCTTCTTATTTATATTTTTATTCCTTAAAATAATTTAGTTTCAAATGGAAAATATATTTAGGTAATAAATACACAGTATATAAGAGCAAAAACAATCTACCAAAAGGATTTTTTTAACTTACAGTTTTCAATTATAGCCATATGTTGTATTGTATATTATTTCTATATGTAAAAATATCAATATGAATGACACATATCAATTTGTAGCTAACTGTAATACTAGAAATAAAATTACCAATGAAAATATTAAACAAACATGCATGAGTTTATAGATAAAGCAAAACTTGTTTTACTAACAGATTCTTGAAAGATAATTATGAGCATTATAAAATTATCTTCAATATGCTTATGAAAACTGATGATTGGACTCACAGATATATATATATATATATACAGTGCTCCAGAAATCTATCTTGAATTTTAACATACATTTTGCACTGCATATAATTATGTGTACACTGTTAAGGTGATTTTATAGCAGGGTCCCACATGTGAGAACTCCATTCTTATAGAACATCTATTTGCAATGACCACTCTGTCTCTCTCCTTATCCATGGAATTCTTATTGGCATTTCATAAAGAGGCACAGAGGATGAGAGGTATTGAGTATAAGAAAAAAATTCCTTTTTTTCTTTTTAAAATTTTTATATTAAGAACCTAACCATACATGTATACCCAAAAAAATAAATAAATCTAAATTAAATAGGTTATTTCAATGCCAATGCAAATGCAGTATTTACTACAAAGGTAAAATAGTGTCAAATTATTGTTTCAGTGTTGGACGGAATTATAGTACTGAGCCCATAAATATTCAACAAGAAGAGAGGACTCTTGAAAAAACATGTTAGTCTATCTCTACGCAACACACACACAGATCATGTTATAAAAGAATTAGAATGAGTCATATATTGAATCCATTACTTAATGTTTAATGCTCAGTAAGATAAATTCAGTGGCAAGGAAAACAAATATAAAGCAACAAGAGCAACAAAGCACTCTAGACTTCCATTTTAAAGTACTGAACAACTCGTGTGTTACAAAAATGTAGTAAGAGACTCCATGGATTAGGAAATACACTGTGGCCATGGGTATCCTTTGTGGGGGAGAAATATAATTTCTTAATTATAATAGTCTTTCCATTGGGGCCACTTATTCTTACAGGAAACACAACAAAGAAAAGTGTTTTGTGGTGGTGGCGGTGTTCTCTGTATTGTTTACTCAATCCATTGTCATACAGTACTTTAAATATAAAGTTAAGTGAGACCTGACTTATCCCTTCATTCTTTTTTTTTTTCCTTCATTCTTTCATGCAACAAAAACTGACTGAGCACCAGGTAGTTCAAAGTATGGTGTTAAGGACTGGGGAGGGTAAAAGTGAATAAAGGAAGCAGTGATTCCTGCCCTCATAAAACTTAAATTTCAGTTAAGGGAGTATAAATAAAAGTAGCAGATTTAAATAATCAGTAGACATTTTTATTCATTCAGTTAAGAGAATGACAACTCAGTAAAAAAACACCATATAATTTATTCAACATTATTCGAGTTATCAACTTGAATTAAGGATCTAATGAAATATAGCTTAAAAGGTAGAAATCTTATTTGTATTCCTCTTCAGTATATTTTGTACTGACAACTCTTTCATAGAACTTGTCTTATCCCCTTTTTTTCTGACCTTCTTTATAAAGGAGAACACCATGAATACCTGGCCTTAACCACCATCCCACCCCTACTCTTTTTCACATCGTCTTTTCAACAGGAGATATTTACTGAGCCCCTGAATTGTACCCAGCACTCTTCTAAGTTCTGCCAATAGGAAGATACATTCAAGAAATTCTCTGTCCACAGGTCACCATGCTGAAATGGGGAAGGCAGAAATAGGAAACCAGAATACAAAACCATTCAGTGAAAGTGGAGGTCAGTGCCTGGTCATCAAAACCATAATGAATTACACTTGCAAGGATGGAGGTGAGGAAGGAAAACATCAGTGATAGTGACACTCAAGTTTCATCTTGAAAGAAGAGTTGAACTGCCTGAAGTGGGCCTGTGTGTTAATTTAAGTTATTAAAAGGTGTCTGGGGATTTATTCATTTTTATAGAGTTGAGATCTGTTGACAGAGATATTACTGTATGTTGATCGCTTTCAATAATAGCCATAGAGAATGAAAAATATAGACAGCATATGCATATGCTAATTTTGACCAATAGAGGGAACACCTAGTGTAATCCTTAATGCAGTTGTCTTATGAGAGACTGAAGATACCATCATAGTCAGACAATGATTAAACCCCGGGATGGAAAATCACCAGGATCAGATGTGTTCATATTTCCTAGTTAGAAGAATCAATTATGACCCTTCTAGGACACTGATTTCTGTTTGAGAGAATATCTGCTCACCCTTCCTGAAAAGTGCAGAGGAAAATAGGAGGGCCTAGCTACCCACTGTATTTATTGTTTGGTAGTGAGGCAAAGGAGTTTTCACGATGCAGGATTTTTTAGGATCCATCTACCTTCTGATAGTTCATTGTCCATTTGTGATCATAAATCCTACTCCAAACCTTCAGATTGAAATAGAAAAAAGCAAGGAGGTTAAAAAAAAAAAAAAAGAAAGACACTATAAGAACGGAAAGAGAAGTATGTTAATTTGATCCCTTTAGAAAGAGTTGAGGTATACGCAGAGACCCCATATCTGAGCCAGCCATTTTAGGGTTGTTTGTTGTTATCTTAAAACACAAAATATATGTTCTGCAAGCCAACTCGTTTGAGAGACTTTATTTTTTATGATTTAATTTTTTTTCATTTTTTTTCTTGAAGTTCCTTCTTTTAAAACTTTAAATTTTTCAGCTAAATAAAAAGGAAAAGGGATTTACTAGAGTTGGCTATATCATGTTCTATCCTTTTCCCTTATTCCCTAAGAATGAAAGTATCACTTATAAAAGAAAGTCAAAAATGGTATCCTACCACTCTTCAAATTCTGCAGTAGCCCAGTGTCGTTCTAAACTAACAAAGATTGGCAGGATTCTGTGCTTCCATAAAATGTATTTAGGATGATTATGACTTCTAACTGTTGTTTTCAGTACTGGTTATTGAGTTCTGGTAAAGTACATATTATAAGGCAGTAGATGGAGGAGAAAGTTGCACTACTCTTGTGTGATTTGCAGGCCACCATGGGGCTTTAAGAAAACAAGAACAAAGTAGAACTTGGTGGCTCCTACTTAGTCGATACACTCACATACAGCCCAGTTATATATTTAATCATTAGGAAAAAATTTACCTTTTTATTTTAATGGATTCTTTTCATTTCTCTTGATTTAATATCAAAGGAGTCTTCTGGTATACTTGTCCAGTTCACTCATCTGCTCCTGAATCGCCATGACCATTTCAGTGGGGATAAACCTTAGGCCACTGATATCACCAAACATCTGAAAAGTGGTGGTAAAATGGCACATATTAATCTCCCATGTTTCAAAGAAATATTTAGGTGGAACGAACAAATGCTGTGATTTTTTCCTTACCCCTGCCCCAAGATTACAGCTTGGAAATCCCCTGAAATGCCATATTGTAACTGAACTCCACAGTTTAACAGAAGTTTACAATTTAGGTATCATGGTTTGGTTTCACATCTGACTTGCTATTCGTACTCATCATATAACACACCAAAAAAATAAATTAAAATCTGTATAACATTTACTAGTACAGAACACATTAGCAATTCAAACACATTCGGAAAGTGAATTATCCTAATTCTATGGAAACCAAAAATGTGAAAATCAAATACAAGACTGGATCTTTCTTCTTCTTCTTCTTCTTCTTCTTCTTCTTCTTCTTCTTCTTCTTCTTCTTCTTCTTCTTCTTTCTTCTTCTTCTTCTTCCTCTGCTTTTAATAACTTTTGTGTGATGAAATGGATCAAACACAAAACTGTTTTCAAATAGGGGAAAACACAGGACAGCATTCCTTTTAGTAGGAACTCATTGTCCCTAGAGAAACTTTCTGTATATACAAGACTAATTATCACTGAGCACAACTAGCAACCATGCCAACATCCTGTTTCACTTGTCACACACAGTTTGGGTTTATTCCTGGGTTGTTTATAATAATCCTAAATTTCACTGACTTCATATGTCTCTCCCACATCTTGAAGGTATCTAGCATTTCCAGGCATTCTGCTGAATGACTGTTTTCCCTAGAACTTATGACCTCTTTAACTGAAGGCTATCTTGGTTAGAAAGGCAGGGAGCCACGGCTACATTTATATTGCCTAAATGAATGTATTTCTCTGGATAGCAGGGAGGACATCTGCTTATTTGACAAACTCCTCTTCTGGTTCCAGAAGCCATTTTTTTCTTTCTAGAATTACTCTTCCATCTCCTAATGGGGCTATAAATCATATAGCAAGCCAATCAGAAAGCCTTTTTCCAGAAATGGACAAATAAATGGGTACAGATGGGATAAAAGCCTTGAGGTATATGTTACCATATGCAAAAGACAGTATCAAGAATGCAGACAAAATAGATGAAAATATGGGAGAGAGAAGAGAGAGATTTGATAACATCCTTTGAACTCCCGAATTCAGTCATTCCGTTAGACTATCAACAAATACCTTTTGTGATTTAGCAGAAATAGATATTTGACATATACAACTACATGAGTTAAGAAAAATAAGTATCTTTATTTGGACACCTTGATTTTTCCTGTCTTGCGGACTCTCTCTTGCAGACCTTCTTCGAGTCCACTTCCCCCATTGATATCTAAAATTTTGTGATTCTTTTCCATTATTTGCTTCTTTGTCACTCTTCTTAACCATCTGTTATATTTATTCCTTATTATACCTCTTTCTTTCCACTTTTTCTGCATATGATCTTTAAAAACCTGAATTTCCTGGGTAATGTTCATGCCACAACAGCACCTATTTAGATGCCACACTTTCTTCCTTTGCAAGACTATCTAAAAGTGCAGTAAGAATCTCCATTTGAGAGCTTCATCCAGTCCATGTCTCTTGAGATATCTTCCCTCTTAGATCTTCAAATGGTGGATCATGCCAGTTGTCCTCAGAACTTTTGAAATGCACATTCCTAATGTCAAATTGGAAGTCACTCAGCCTCTACCAGCATTAGGAATAACAGAACCACAGGGTCAAGTTCTCTTTAGTTTCTCATCATTTACAATATTTTCTTTGTGGCTGAGAATTAGATTCGGAGAAACAACCTCAATCATCACTTTGTATTCTAAGAAATGAATTATTGGGACTTCTTATTCAGTAGCGTGTCTCCATTCATAAGAATTCCTCAATGAGTTCAGAGTGTGTGGGTAAGAAGGGACACGCGTGTAGGAGAGATTTTGTTGGCTGGAGATTTGAGGAACTCCTCCAGTTATTATTTGGACCAATTACCCAGAATAATCCCTCACCAGCAGAGCCAATGACCAGTAGCAGGTAGCCTTCTGGCTCACATTGGTCCTTCTCATGTGGTCCTATAATTTTAAGAATCCTCTTTGTACTCATCAAGGCTGTCACCATGAAGTATCCAAATTTACCTCTTTAAAGTGATTTGGAGATATATATACAGGTCATTTATTATATAAATATATATAATCTCAAATTAACAAGTATGCTTTGGCCTGAGAGGGTTGGGAAAAGGGGAATAAGAAAATAACTAACCTTAAATCTATTGCTACAGAAATGTGTTTGTTGTCACTTCCGAGTTAACCGATGTATATAGGACACGTCTCTTTCCAATTACTGCAATGTGACTATAAAAAATAATCTTAGAGGCACCTGAGTGGCTTAGTCAGTTAAGCATGATCTCAGGGTCATGATCTCAGGGTCTTGGGATCAAGCCCTGCATTGGACTGCCTGCTGAGCAGGGAGTCTGCTTGTCCCCTTACACTTCTTCTACCCTTCCCCATGCTCTCTCTCTCTCTCTTTCTCTCTCTCTCTCTCTGATAAATAAATAAAATCCTTATTAAAAAATCATCTTAGAATATTTTTAATTTCTATAAATCTATGTAGTCATTTATCTCAAATGTTTGTGCGAGAACAATAAACTGATAATATAATCCCACTTACTTTATGAGTTTCATCGATTACTGGGAAGAAATGTTGCTAGAAAATAGATTACAAACAAGTATAATCTCATGCAAACTTATATGGGACTTTGCCACACTTTGAAAATAAACAAAAAAACTACTTAGTCGTGTAGCATTTTTCAGAGGCAGAAAGTGATCCTGAACTGTAATACTCATGTGCTATTGTTGGGCAAACTTTTCATTCACTACAGATGTGGCTACGTATTTGTTCATCTTTTCTGGAGGGCAATTGGGACACATATATCCATATATATTCACTTGTCCACACATATATAACACATGCATAAATATATAGCAAATATACACATAAATGTCTATCTTTTTAAATTGTCATATTCTTTGGCCTAGTAATCCCACTATCAGAATCTAGCTTTAAAAGATAATACAGAGGGATGCCTGGGTGGTTCAGTGGTTGAGCCTTTGTCTTCAGTTCAGGGCATGATCCCGGAGTTCTTGGATCAAGTCCTACATCAGGCTCCCTGCATGGAGCCTCCTTGTCCCTCTGCCTATGTCTCTGCCTCTCTCTTTGTGTGTCTCTCATAAATGAATAAATAAAGTCTTAAAAAAAAGATAATTCAAAACATCAATGAAAATGGCCGAGTAAGGAATTCCATATTCAACACCTTCATAAAAAACAACAAAACAACATGAGCAAAAACTCTCACGATCAACTTTTTGGGATGAAAACAAGTTCCAGCAAATCATGTGGCTGAGGTTGAAGCCATTAAGGACTTGACTTGCCACTCAGGACCCCACCCCCTAATATTACAAATGTATGAGGTGAATGAGTAGAGTTCAAGCATGGGATATTTGGGTGTCATTGCCAAGCAGCATAACTGGCAGAGGATTTCTGCAGAGGCGGACAAGGATCTTTCAGGCTCCATGGAGCTGGTGATGCCCATGGCTGTGCAGACAATAGCTCATGTGAGTTCCTTCTGTCTTGTGTTTGAAACATGCCTGACCCTCTGTGGTATCAAAAGGTCCCTGAATTTCTTAGAAATCATATGGATAAAACAGACCTTAAGAAAAAGATAGTGAATTTTCTTCTAATAAGGGTAGATAGCTCTTCAGGTGTCTAACTGGGAAAATGAAGTCAAGTTTATTGACCATTTACTTGGTAGAATGGGTCATACCCAGCTGCCAAAAAACACACCTGAGAGCCCATTATATATATAGTAAGAAGATGAAGAATAATAAACTGGACACAACATTCCAGGTGGATTTTGATTTAATTTACCCCTTACCACAGGATTCATGTATGCATAGCACTAATTCACTGACCGCAGCAACAGAGCAGGATTTGGAGGCTTAGTTAAACCCATTATAGTTCTGTAGTGAAATAGAATTTTTTTCTCAATGGAATTCAGATTGCTACACCTGAAGTATAGCAATCTGGACTAGGGATAAAGAGTCTATTAAAATTCTATTACAACTGTAGGCTTCAAAAATAGAACCAGAAATAATACAACACTCTGTGTAAGTAATAGATTGAATCAACATTGTTTTACAGAAAGGGCGTTTTGCATTTTGAAGAAGTAGAGTGTTGATGTGAATTTCCTCCAGCAGTTAAATAAAGGCTGACAATGGGATTTATTCTCTGAGATTTAGTGGTGATGGGGCGCTGGTAGTGGTGACCCCGTTGATCATCACAGCTGTGAAAATTATAAGCCAAAGCACATGGTCCTTTCAGTTTTGCAAAAGTGCACTTTACTTGGTTGTAAAATATGCAATGTTCTTAGGATTAAATATCTGAATATTGCTTCTGAAGGAGCAGGTGTCACCTTAAATCTAAAGTCTAGTTTGTTTACTGGCTGTATTTTATATCCTTTAGAAAATGACACAAAATGGCAATAAAATCATTGTAAGTATTCTACAGGGGAATATAAATGCCCTTTGGTTACAGTGTACATACCTTTATACATAATTCCAGTTTATTTTCCCTGGAATTATGTTAAATATGTAAAAAGCCTTTTCTCATAAAGGTAAAAATGCTAGATGTTTCCGAGTTGTAATTTAGCATTAGTGTCAAAATTGCTTCAGAAAATAAGCTACTGTTACTATTTCAAGTGTCATTCAGCATACTATATGTGATTTTGCACATAAAATAAGCTTATATGATTTTATATCAGTGTTTAGAAAATGTGGGATTAAAAATAATTTATTGGATACAAATATGTAATTGTAACTGACACTATGAACTGTGTTTTTTACATTGTTTTCTAATATTACTATCAAACAATTGTTTCATGGAATTACAAAAAAAATCTCCCCCATACGCTAAACAGAAGAAACCATAATACTTCTATATCCATGAATTCTTAGAAATAAAAAATGAGT